CTCTCTCTTTGGTGAAGTCAATATCAGCGCCTGCTGTGTTCAGAAATGGAGTCCCAAGTAGTAGAGAAGGTTCTGAGTGTGAGCCATTTCCATCACAACAAAATCAGTTGGTATCTTGCATGCTCCAATCCTCACAGAAAAGTCTTCAATGAGACCAACAAGTTTGCTTGAAGATGAGTCCACAAAAGTGATTGTGGAATCATATGGTCTCAGATTGGTGACTCCTAGTTCTTTTGCAAATTCAAGAGACATCACATTGATACATGAACCTGTGTCACACATGGCCTCTTCCATAACCAATTCACCAAGGTCACAAGAGACTAGAAACTTTCCTGGATTGCCATGTTTATGGAGGGTTGCTGGCTCTTCTTTCTCCTTCACTTTGCCAAATGAAGAGTTCATAATCAGCTCCACCTTTTCTTTGTTCCCAAGAATGTCTTTGATGAACCTTGCTTGATCCTTCACTTGCATCAAAGTTTCTAGTGGAGGCAAGGGGACACCAGCCTAATCCAGCCAAGAGATACAACAACCCGAGAAGAGAAGGCTCTCAACCGGAGGGATTGTCATCCGCGAGACCCAAGGAGACAACATTCAGCCGGCGTGCCATTCTCTACAAGAACCAGCTGACAAAGGCAAAGCAACGATCTCTAGCTCCTCTGGAACATCCTCAAGTTCCAGCCGAGCCTAGACCAGAGGTAAACAACCTTCTTCCATTGTATATAACCGCTCATATTTGTTTCTTGCATTGTGTTTTGATGCTCCTTCGGATGAGTTTGCCACCGGGACGGTGTCAAGCAAGTTTGGGGGAGTACTTGTGTGATTTAATCTTGTGTTCTTTGATCTTATTTTCCTTTGTGCATCCTTGAGTCTTAGGTCATGAAAAATTGGTAAAGTTTTTAAATTTTTTTCAAAGATTCATGTAGTTGCATTCATCTTTTTAAAAACATGTTAGGATTGAGTCTAGAGTTTCTCATATCACCTAAATTGTTTGCATTTTGCATAAAGGGTTAGAATTTCTTAAAAATGTGTTTTTACTTATGAATCATTTCAATGCCCTAGTTGGTAGTTCTCTTATGCTTTGTTTATGCTTTGAAAGTAAGTTTTAACCATGCTTGGATCCCTAGTTAGGATTTTCGTGGCTTGAATTGAACTCTCATGATTTGAAACTCATCCTACTAAGTGAAAACCTTAATTTGAAACTCTAATTATCATTCTTATGCATTTGAAAATGAACACATGGTTTTAAAATATTTAGGCTCTCTTCTTTCTTTTTACCACTCTTTGTGAGCCTAAGTAGAACTCCCTCCTTGAACCTTACCCTCCTTTGAAGCCAAATGTTCTTGTGTGACATCTTTGTGAGGCATTACTTTTGGTTTGAACTTGGCATAAAGTGTTAGGTTTAGGTGACATGATTTGGTTTTCATATTGATTGCTAGCTTTGCATTTTGAAGCTAGGTATTGGCTTAGGATAAGTTTGGGGGATCATTGGGGTTGCTTTCTTGTCTAATTGTTTCGGTTTCAAAGAGTTTGTGTTTTAAGGAAAGAAATGAGGTTTTAAGTGAAAGGTTTGCTTTTAAAACTAAGTATGCTCTAATTTTAGGAAGTAGCTCTCTCATAATAAGTAAAAATAAAAAAATAAAAAAGAAAAAAGAAAAGAAAAAGAAATAAAAAGAGCCTAAGTGCTAAATAAAGAAAAAAAAAGGAGAAGAAATGAGAGGGGTATAGGATCATTTTATAGTTTACATGGGTAGATAAGAATCTAATCATGTATGCATAAATTGTCTTTACCTTTAGCATTATGCATAAGTTCAAACCATTTTTGAGAGAAACCCTTGTTATGATTATAAACCTTTTTCAAATGAGATCATTCTATGCTCATAACCATAACCCTTAGCCAAATGTGTGATGAGTATGGATAAGTTCTTTGGAGTATGAGTGTATGCATAGCATTTTAGAACTGTTAACTAGGACATTGAGATGATCCATTTGAAAGGCACCTTTGCAAAAAGTTTAAAACCCCTTTGATTTTTTTAAAAACCTCTCTTCCTTACTTGCTTTTTGTTGCTTGAGGGCAAGCAAGAAGTAAGTTTGGGGGAGTTGATGTTATTGCATATTGCATACATTTTGTATACTCATTAGTTAGTTTTTCATGTATTTGTATCATGTTTTAGGTTAGATTGCATCACTTAGGGTCCTAGAGCATTCTTGCATCAGCATATGCATTTTCCTTGCATTTTGCATCACATTCAGGTTGTTTCTGGCTGCTTTGGAGTCATGGAGGTTCGTGGGCGTGTGGAGGCTGATGTAGCAGTTCGTGGGAGCTCGGAAATATGCTAAGGACCAGTGATCGAGCAGCAGATCGAGCATGGCCGGTCGATCCAGGAGTTGATCGACCAGAAGATCGAGCCAACTAGGCGATCCAAGGAGAATGATCGAGACGGAGATCGAGTGAAGCAATCGATCAATCGGTACGGACGTAAATGACGCCATGCAGAGCGAGAGCCAGATCGAGTACACCACTCGATCCACCCGAAGATCGATACCGAGATCGGATGCAACACTCGATTCGCCGAAGAAGATCGAGACCCGGATCGAGCCGAAGACACGATGCTCGGATGTGATCGAGAGAACCACTCGATCCAGTGGTCGATTTCTGTCCTTTCAACCGTTTTTGGCTGTTAGCGAAGGGGGGACCATTGGATTGTTTGGGCATTTTAGGCAAGGCGGCGAGATGCTTTTTCGATAACTTTTAGATTTCTTATCTTTTCTTTCATGTTTTCTCTCTCGTTTAGCGAAGAACACCATTGTTAAACCAGTTTTCTTTTGAAGCTTTTGTATTCGAATCTTTATCTTTTAATCCAGTTTTCCTTTCATGTTTATCGTCTCGTATCTTCTGCTTTGCTTGATTTACTCTATGTGTAGCGAGTAGTTTACTTTAGGTCCGGGGTTGAGAGGATTAAGGGTGTAGAAAAGGTTCGATCTTGGTTTGTTTTCTAAACGTTTTAAAGGCTATCTCTTCTAAGGTGTTGAAAGCTTAATGCTTGAAGACTCTCACACCAAGAGCTTCATGATCCGAGAGGTTCCTTACCTTGACAGGATCCAGGAGCCTCGGAAGATCACACCTTAGAGATTAGTTACCCCTTCCCAAAAGCCATGGAAGTTTGGGGGACTAGTTAAGCCATCTACTTGAAATCTGTTTTCCTTGCCTTTCGACCTCTCTTTCCACCAAAAGCCATGGGTTTGGAGGAGAGGATGAAAGAGTGATCTATACCGAAAGCCACGGATAGATCTTGTTTTGTTTTCAAGGCTTAGAGATCCTCACCAAGTGAGTCGATCTAAAGTTTCAAACCCAAGATCGATCCTTTGAAACCCTTTACTTGAATCTCAACCCTAGGCCCTTTCTTTTAGAATCTCTAAGTCTTTTTTCATCCTTCGCTTGTTACCTGATAGCATCCTGGTCACTAGATTTGTTGTTCTTACGGTTTTAGACGAGATCGATCGTTACTGCTCGATCTAGTGGTCGATCTTGTAGTCGATCCACTAGTCGATTTTTAACAATTCGAAGCTCTTTCCTTTAATCAATATGTTTGTTTCTTGTGGTAGTTGCTTCCTTTCTAGTATTTTTAAAATAGGTTTCGTTCTGTTTAAGTTGCTGCATCTAGTTTTTAGTTAATTTCTCATAAACTATCTCATTCTGCTTAGATTTGCTTAGTACCTTGCATTCTTTGTGCATTCTCTGCCTCCTAGAAGTGGATTGACACTCTCCTGCTTGCCTTATTACAACACTGCATGCATTAGAGTTTTGATAACCTCTCTGCTGCATAAAACCTGCTTGAAAGATAGTTTATCAGTAACCCCCAAGACTGTGGTGTTTTATTTTTCATAGCTTCTAGTGTAATTGCTTATAAAGAGAATACACTTTAGTTACTTTTTACTGCTCTGGTTATGATGCAGGCCCAAACACGGGCCCAAAAAATCTAAGATGCTCTTGTGGATTGCAAATTATAATATGAACGATGCTTAAAGTCCAATTGTGTTTTGTCGAACATGATGGATTGTTTTTTCTAAATTGTCTTTTTAAAAGATTTATAAATTACCTTTTAAATCCTTATAAATTTTATGGTGTAATTTATAAAAGGTTTAAAAGAAGCTTTAAAATATTTATAAAAAGATGTTTTGGGTGCTCGAACTAGAGAACTGATGGTAAAGTAAAGGGTGTGTGTAACCCCTAAGGCTGTGGTGTTTTAATTGTCATAACAGTGATTGTAATTGTTTATAAAGAGTATATGTTAATTTTGTAAAAAATTAAAAAAATCCCCATCGATTCCTCATCGAGAGAAATGACATTGTATCGGTAAGAAGTACTCGTTTTATTTATTTAATTGCATTGAAACAATCAATTTCTTCTCTTATCATCTAGGGAAGAGAAATAGTCGAATATTAATGAACTTATTCAACTTTCTCTGGTGTTTGGTGGCGTTTGCACTGTTTCGTCCTTGTTTATATATATTCTGATTCCCCATTATTTCGCCGTCACTAATTCCACAGATAACCATGGCTACTTCAACCGCTTTGAAAGATCTCCGGATGGCTCTCAAGCAAATTAAAAACCGTCCTTCTGACTTTTTTTAGACAGGTTCGGTTTAATGTTTAAATAGATATATAAGTTTTATTTGGTGCTTTGGGTTTGGATTCGTGTTTTGATTTCGAAAACATAAAATTTTCTGTAGATTGATGCGATTTTGGAGTTTTGTTTGTGTATTTTTAGTTGTTAGGTACACTTACTTTGGTTTGTACTCGTTCGAATCTAGTGGGTTAGTGATGAATTTCTGCGTCTTTTTTCTCTATCTCTGTATGGAAATAATTTTATAGCATGTTCTCTCATTATAGATTTGAGTAAACCCCACATTTATATGATCGACTCAAAAGTCAAATCTGATTATTGTAGATCATTAATCCTTTAATGAAAACGTGAAGATTATGTAGTGAGATTATGTAAAATGTTTTGTTTAGGTCCGGTGGATGACAACCTCTTCCAATGGGAAGCTGCAATTAAGGGACCAAAATATAGCCCTTATGTTGGAGGAACCTTCCATGTTAGCATGCGTTTTTTTCCCACGGTTTTTAATGAATCCTCCAACTGTAATTTTTTCATACCAACTCTTACTCTTATGCAACAACTGCTAATGTCTATGTCTAAATCCTACGGATTACTCAATTTTTCAGGTCATTTTCAAAACCAAGGTGTTCCACCCAAATATTTCTGACAAAGGAGATGTCTATCTCTACATGTTGGACAATGGATGGGCTCCTGGTTTCACAATTCCTGATGTATGTGTTTCATTTTCTGTTCGTTATAATTTAACTTTAGTACCGGCAGTCATAAATATTTATTAAAGCAACTTTCTTCTTTTCTGGAAATAGATCCTAATGACTCTTTGGGGAATGCTCCTTACCCCAAGATTGGAGCTTCCTGATAAGGTGAACGAGAATACTCTGGTGTATGTCTCTGACAGGGAGAAGTTTAATAGAATAGCTGCTGAGTGGACTCGATTATATGTTATTAATTAAGGAGTTCGTTTGTCTTATGACCACATTGCTATCTATGTTTTAAACTGCAACACTCTTAACTTTTTTTATTATGAATAACTCAATTCTGTTTGCTTAACTATTAATGCAGATGGTGCTTCTATATTGTTACTTGTAATGGTGATATCATGTTCAAACAGTTTATATAGATACAATATTTTTTTTAAAACAATCAAAAGCATTTATTAAGACTTTTAGGTTTTAAATCTTTATAAATTTTATGTTGAGATTTAAACGATTTAAGAAGGCTTTTAAAACCATTTAAAATGCTTATAAAACCATCCAAAATTTTTATATCCCTACTTGCTCAGACCAGGATATGAGTGTATTCGATGAGGGGTGTGTAACCCCCAAGGCTGTGGTGTTTTAGTTGACATAACTACAAATATAATTGTATATATTAGTTATTTTGAAAATATACGTTTAAAAACCGTTTAAAAAAAGCTTTTAAAAATATCCTCAGGTTGCTCGAACCAGAGAACTAGTGTCTTTGAGGAGGCGTGTGTAATCCCCAAGGCAGTGATGTTTTAGTCGTCATAACTACGAATATAAATATCTATTATTTATTGTCTATATATTCGTTTAATATTTTTGTTGAGATTTTATAAATTAAGTTTTTAAACTTTATAAAAATTATGCTGATATTTTAAAAAGATTTAAGAGAAGTTTTAAAAAGGTTTATAAAAAATTGTTAGGATTATGAACACTCGAGACAACCGCCCAGAAATGTAATAGAATTAAGTGATCCAAAGTTGGTCGAACCAAGGGACTCATGGGTAAGAAGAGGGCGTCTGTAACCCCCAGGGCAGTGGTGTTCTAATTGTCATAGCTACGAAATATAATTGTATATATTAGTTATTTTTAAAATATACGTTTAAAACCATTTAAAAGGACTTTTAAAATATCCTCAGGTTGCTCGAACCAGGGAACGAGTGTTTGGTAGGAGGTAAGTGTAATCCCAAGGCTGTCATGTTTTACCTGTCATAACTATGAATACAATTGTATATATTAGGTTTTAAAATGGATTTTTAAATATCCTCAACGCTCGAACCCAGGGAAGAATGTCTTTTAGGAGGCGTTTGTAACCCCCAAGGCTATGGTGTTTTACTTGTCATTACTACAAAGAAATTTGTATATATTAGGCTTAAAATCTACGTTTAAAACCATTTAAAAAGGATTTTAAAAAGCTACTTAATCTTTTTAACCAACTGTTGATGTAAAACATTGCAAGTCCTTTCATTCAAAACATCACCAACACAAATAACAATAATGTAATAAAATGATAATGTAATAATATTATACTGTTTAACTAGGTGATCGGTGTGGGCTATAAAATATTTTATATGTTATATATATAATTAATATTATATCTTGATAAATTCTGTATTTATATAATTAATTATATATTAATAATAAAATAGTATGATTATTTAATAATAAAATTAATAATAACTGAAATTGAAAATGGTATAGATCGTAATAGAAAATTCGTGATAAAAAGTATTAATCAAGAATATAAAATGGTTCATTAGAATAAAAAGTGTAAATATAATAACTAAATAAACTGAAACTATTAAAACATATAAATCTTTCTAAAAAATATCAATAGCATAAAATTAAGAAAGATTTTGAAACACTTCTTTATAGACGACGTTCATAGTTTTCTTTTGCACTTTTCTTTCTTTGTCTGTTATGAGAACTTTAAGTCCAGATCTAGACTTAACTCTAGATAATACAACATATAGCTGCCCATGAGAGAAAACTGGTCTAGGTAGAAACAAACCGACATTCTCAAGTGATTGTCCTTGGCTTTTGTTGATAGTCATTGCGAAAGCTAAAGCTAAAGGGAACTGTCTACGAAGCATTCTGAAAGGAAACCTTGTATCTGGTGTTGTCACATACATTCTAGGGATTAGAACTACCTGACCAATCATTTTCTCATTTCCTGTTATAATTCTACCTTCAACCACATGTCTAGCCATTTAAGTAATAATAAGTCTAGTTCTATTGCATATTCCACCCTTAGGATCTATGTTACGAAGACACATGACAGGATCACCAACTTTTAATTTTAAGCAATGCTTCGGTAATCCGGAAACTTTGATGCTATTCAAAAACTCAGTTGGGTAGTCCACCTTTTTCAATGTATCTGTATCTGAAAGAATAATGCTGTCTGAGCTCAGGTATACTTTCTCATCACCTGAGATATTTAAATAATAAGAAGATCAGTTGTGAACATACGAAGAAACCCATAAAAACAATTTGAAAAAGATAAAAAAAACTTAGAATTCTAATCTGTTTATTATGACTACAGTGATATTCTATAAACATTATTATTTTAATTAGAAGTTGAAAAAATAGTTTCATATTTTTTTTAACTAAACTTAAACAGAAATAAACAAAATGGTATGATAGTCTTAACTAAAGTTACCGTTTAAAATATTTGTTGGATTGTACATTATGAATGCAATATATTATATGGTATTTATATTTACGAAAGTAAACCAAAGAAAAAAACATATGATAAGATATTCGAGGTTTATTCTAACAAACCTATAATAAAATGGTTATTCTATAAATTTTGTAATTAAAATACGCAAATTTGATGTTGCAAAAAGACCATGTGAATATAAAATAACTAAACATTTTAAAATAGAAATGAAGGTGAAAATAGTTTTCAAATATTACCTGGCAATTTTGAAAGCATGTAGTCATTAGTCTGATTGACATCATTATTTGTAGGGCTAAGGATGGCCCTAGACTTGTAAAAATTCAGATCAGAAGACTTTGTTGAAAAATCTCTATAAACCTCGCGAACAATAGTTTCAATAGGATCTCCACATTGAGTTATCGACAAATCTTCGGGGATACCAATTTTAACCAAGCTGTCATTTGGTAGGTTAATCTTTCCATCACCAATATCCAAAAACCATTCAGAGAAAGATTTAAGATCTGCAACATCGTGATCACTAAGCCCAGCATGCAATCTCATATTCTTTGTAAGCTTCAAAATCTTGCAATGCTCCCAAAGGTATGATGCATTTAGAGATGCCAAAACGGTTTCCGCTCTGCTACCTCCAGTGATAACAGGCATAATCTGTCTAAAATCACCACCAAACACAACTACTTTGCCTCCAAATGGCTTATCCTCTTTTGATCTGATAATATCTCGTAAGCTACGATCTAAATTCTCAAAGCAATGTTTACTCATCATAGGATCTTCATCCCACACTATAAGACTTGACTTCTTCATTAGTTCAGCAATATCTGATCCTGGACTCATATTGCAAGATGTGAATTCGTCTGGTGAAATCGGGATGCCAAACCTCGAATGGGCTGTCCTACCACCTAGTAACAAAAGCGCAGCAATTCCACTTGATGCAGTATTAACAACAATTAGACCTTTTGAACGATTAGCGGCAGAAAGTGTACTCCATAGAAAGGTTTTACCTGTACCTCCAAAACCATAGGCGAAAAACACTCCACATTTATCATTAAACACTGCATCTACGATCTCTTCATAAACTGCGCTTTGCTCATCGGTAATCATCCCCATGAATCTTTCATGTTCTTTACATTCATCTTCTGGGATATAATTCTGCTCATCATCAATGAGACGGTTGCCAGTGTAATTGTAGAAATCATATGGCTTAAGCATCTGTATCCATTTTGATAAAGTACGACCATTGCTCAGCAATATATCCTGAATTTCTGACAGAGCTATGTTTTTGTTTTGATCAACTGACAAATTAAGACCTGTCATGTTCAGAAAAAAAATAAAAAGAACACATATAATTACTTAAGTTACAATTATTGTATATAAGTGTTTGAAAAAGTATTTCAAAAATTCAGACGTACCTATGTTTCCAGTTTCTTTCCTTTTATTGAAAAGTATGTCTTCAGTTAGATATTCCCATGTTTCTTCCCAAACAACATGAGGCAGAGACAGACAGTCTGCAATTAACATTATAGAAAAGAACCTGCGAATAAATTTACCACTACACCAATTGCTGGCTTCTTTAATACCTTCAATGTATTCTTTGTCATCATCCAATAAACCCCTTGCTTCACAAGCCTCCACGTAAGTAGGATAAACAAATCCATCGACAGTTCTTATTTCCTCATAAGATGTTGGTCCTATTACGTAGTTAAGCAAAACTCTCAAATAATACAGTTCACCTAATACATGATGAATATGTGCAATCCTCCCAATAGGAAATCCTCTTATCCTAGGCTCCATACTCTGTCTTTGAGATGCCAAACAAACTTTGTAGGAAACTCAGCATATAGCAGATCTTTCACCTCTGGATATCTCTTATTTGCTTCCATCCAAGCTAAAAACATAGACTCCTTAACCGTAATACGGTTCATCACAGTTTCTAGTGGTTCTGATTCATCAAAATAGACCATTTGCTCATTTTGCAGATGGAAGCCAAGTTTTTCCACAGAAATAGTCCGATAATGTGTAGGAAAAGCCAGTATACTCCATATTGATTCACAAGCAGACATATACCTACAGTATTACCACAAAGTTGATCAAAATGCTATCCAATTATTTCCACTATATATAAAAAGTCTGAACAAAAAATTCAGACGTACCTATGTTTCCAGTTTCTTTCCTTTTATTGAAAAGTATGTCTTCAGTTAGATATTCCCATGTTTCTTCCCAAACAACATGAGGCAGAGACAGACAGTCTGCAATTAACATTATAGAAAAGAACCTGCGAATAAATTTACCACTACACCAATTGCTGGCTTCTTTAATACCTTCAATGTATTCTTTGTCATCATCCAATAAACCCCTTGCTTCACAAGCCTCCACGTAAGTAGGATAAACAAATCCATCGACAGTTCTTATTTCCTCATAAGATGTTGGTCCTATTACGTAGTTAAGCAAAACTCTCAAATAATACAGTTCACCTAATACATGATGAATATGTGCAATCCTCCCA